CAGTCTTCTAGTGTTCAGTCTAGCCCAGAGTGTAAAATTGGTGAAGACAATGTTAGTTCTGTCATAGGGCGCAGCAAAAGATGTTCCTGTGGTGACAGGAGGTGGCAGAATGCAGGATTTACTCCTTTGCTTTTACCCCCTGGTATTCCTTGTGCTTGCACACCAAAGAGCTGCCTGCTCCAGGAGCTGGAGCACCCGCTCTTCACCCAGCTTCTCCGAGCTGGGTTCATATCGCTGTTTCTCACTTCCCCTCCACCCCTCAGCCTGGTGGGATTTCTGCCCCTAAATCCATTTCCCAGAGGAGCCCCCAGCTGTGGGTCGGGGGTGCTGGTATCTGGCACGGGGCAGTCCCACACCTCCCGGGGGCCACCCCTGCAGCTCCCCCCGGGGCCAGCACCTCGCTGCTTGCACCCAGAACGGTTAGTCAGAACCCAGCAGCAAGATGTGATAGTTGAAAACGATGGAAGAAAAAAGGCTTTTGGTATTTTTCAGCCCTGGGAACAGCTGCACAGCCCACAGACTCACCTTTGGCTCTGTGTTACAACCTACAGCCACAAATTCTGTTGCACTTGTTGCTTTCTCTTTAAGTTGCCATTGCTGCAAACGGCCTCCAGCTGGCCAGCCCCGGGGCAGATGGCGTGCAGGGTCTGCAGACGCTAACGATGACGAATGCTGGCGGTGCTCAGCCCGGGACAACGATACTGCAGTACGCACAGACGTCAGACGGTCAACAGATACTTGTACCCAGCAACCAGGTGGTAGTGCAGAGTGAGTACGCCTTGCGGAACGGTGAGAAATACCCCTCGCTAACGACCACCGTTCTAACGCCGCCACGTTTGGATGTCTGTTCTCGCCACAGCCGCGTCGGGAGACATGCAGACGTACCAGATCCGCACCACGCCAACCACCACGTCCCTGCCTCAGACCGTGGTGATGACGTCTCCCGTCACTCTGACCTCACAGACGAGTAAGACGGATGACCCGCAGCTGAAACGAGAAATCAGGCTGATGAAGAACAGGTATGTAAGCGCACGTGGGCTGCTTTGACTTGGTCATGTCCTGAAGTACGTCTTCAAAGGACAAATGTTTAGCATCTGGAGAGCCAAATTTACCGATTGTGCCATGGGTATGGTGCACTGCAACCAAAACCCTTGGAAATCCTGCCCGAAACACGCTGCTGCACGTTGTGTCTCAGGCGACTCGGAGGAGAGGAGTTGGTTTTTCTCCGCAGGCCGAGCGCCGCGTGTGTTTGCAGGTTCCGCTGCATGTCGTGCTCTCCACCGAGCCGCGTGCACTGCCCAGCTTGTTCCGTTCGCATGCCAGCTCGTATCACTCAGAACCGTAACATCCTCGGGTAGACACATCTCACACCTAAACCAAACCATGGTTTCTGCATGTCTGTTCCAGAGAAGCTGCTCGAGAATGCCGTCGAAAGAAAAAGGAGTATGTTAAATGCCTGGAAAACCGAGTTGCGGTCCTGGAAAATCAGAACAAAACTCTAATTGAAGAGCTAAAAACTTTGAAAGATCTTTACTGTCATAAAAGTGTGTAAGAAAAGAAGGTAAAACTTTTGTGGACTGTTCAAATTTCAGAGGAGAATTTTTTTTTTTTATACTGAATTTTTTAAACTAGATGAAAGGTCAAAAAAGAAACTTTTCTACCTAGATTTCACAAAATAAAGACTACATAGATTTTATTTACAACGTGTTGGTGACAAAGTACAAAAAGGAAACGAGAAAACCCCTCACCAAAATCCCTGCTGGCACAACTGGAAACGTAATAAAGTCAAGACTGCGTTTGCGATAAAAGGACAGTCACGTGTCACGAGGCAGGTGATGAGAATATCCTCCAGCATTCCCACAAATACCTCTTGCAGTGGAGGCAATATTGGGTTACAGTTCAGATGTGGGTGACGTGGAATCCTTGCCGTAGTTGATGTTATTAGTAACATTTATAACCAGTATATGTTTTGATTTCTTACTTTTTCAATCCTTTTTCTGTCAGTTATTTGTATGTAAATATTTTTATTTTAACCTGTAAGTTCTTATTTACAGGTGCAGATGATAAAAAAAGCTATTCCTTTGCTAGAGGTATAAATTATGTTTATCTTTCTCAGCTGACAGTTTAAAAAGTTGGAGGGTTTTTTCAGCGTTTGCCGTGTTTACCAGCTTTGGGAGGGATGTGCAGGAAGCGGCGAGAGGCCTAGTCCTGACAATGTCGAGGCACGCGCAATTCGGTGTTGGCTTCTCTTGAGAGGGTCCGACACGTCCGGCTGTTTTCAGGTTCAGTGGGGTAGGAGGAGTGCTGGTGAGCCAGAGCTGAAGAGC